CGCCCCGCCTCGCGTGCGGGGCGCATTTCCCCCAGGCCAAAGCGCCCCGCGTCCGGGGCGCACCCGAGGCGCGCGCCTCAATAAGCCTGGTTATAACAATTAAGTGAGCTTTCATTGAGTTCTCATCTATTGTAGAGAACAAACTTATTGTGAACTTAAATTGTGATGATTCACTTTGTATTACACTAGTACACCGAGAGGAGTGTGTGGTGAAAGACGGGATCGCTTCCAAGAGGAGTGACATCGGTTGACGAACCTAGTGAGAGGTTGTATCCGAGCACTTAAGGAAGGACACGAGCTAGAGACCAACACTTAAAGGGTGTGGACTGTGGAGTGTAGTTACATTGTGAGTTTGTGATCGTTGATCGGTGAGCGTTGAAAATAAATATTATGTGGTGTAAACGTTATTCGGGTGAGCGTAGAAAACCCGGTTGTGATAATGAAGATCTCCTCGATGTGAGGAGCGAAGACATAGGTCGTGGGGACCAAACTCCGTAATCATATCATTTATTTATGATTACATTAGCGCACTTATCTTTATGTTTATATCTTATTTCGCCTTTGTATATTGCTTGTTGTTTATATTTTTCACTATCTAGTTTAGATTATTTATCCTTGTGTTGTTTGTATATCCTCACATATATCTCATAGTATATCTCATTGCTAGGATATTTTTCTTTGTTCATATTGCATATTCTTTCTCATAACATATTGTATATCTATCTTGTAAGAATAATTTATTAATAAGTTTTAATAGGCATAAAATCGGATTAGATTAGCATAAGACTATAATCACCCCCCTCTAGGGTCTGACAGCAAGGCTATAAGAAAATGGTTTGGAATAGCTAGGGTGCATCTCCACTTTGACATTTGCGGACCATTAAATGTGAAGGCTCCGAATGAGGCCTTCACTGCATTTATAGCTAATTATTCACGATATGGTCAAGTATACCTGATCTTCCACAAGTCTAAAGCGAGAGGTTGCTTTCCTCCTTGCTTGAATGACGTTGAGAATCGGTTTGACAAGCGCGTAGAAGTGTTACAAACTGGTCATGATTGAGAAAATCTATCGGAACAGCTCAAGAAACTATGTGAGAGAAAGGGATTTATCTGACAAATGACTAATCTCTATACTCTGCAAGAGTATAGTGTGGCGGAGAGAAGTAGAACATTGTTTAACATAGTGAGATCCATAATGGTGGAACCGCATTTATCCATATCTTTTCGGGGATTTGCACTATTGATTGTTGCCTATGTACTAAAGTTTATACCTTCCAAGGTTGTTGACTCTACACCCTATGAGCTTTAGACAAACGAAAAGCCCGACTTGGGCAATTTGCGGACACGAGGCTCGATAGCTTACGTGCACACTACCTTCCATCAGCATGGGAATATTTCGACCCCAAGGGAGAAAATTTTCATATTTATTTATTATTCGAAACATTCGAAGGTTATATGTTCATCGAGGCATAGGAAGTTAGAATTACCCCTGAGATTGAGTTACGAAAAGCAGAGTTCCTCGAGGAGGATTTCCTCACAGGAGATGCGCCAAATTTTAATAGGTTTGAGATGGAGGTAAGTGTACTAAGTGACCTAGTTGAGCATTCTCCTGATTGGTCATGCACCCCGATCATAGAAATCTCAATAACTCGGAAGAAATAATTTCCAACCAATCCCTCATCAAACCAACTATTTTACAAACTAAAATCAAACCTTAATCAGTTACGACATCAAAATATATTAGTCAAGGTTTTAAATGTCGACTGACATATCGGTTTGAGGGCTTGACCGACACGACATGGACGTTTTTAACTCGTATGTCGATTTTCAGGGTCAAATCGGAAATATTAGGGTCATATCAGGCATATCGGTCTATTTTTTAGCTTTGAAAAATCGACCGATATGGTACTTTTCTTTAAGATCTATTTTTGTTATCGGGTTTGGGTTTAGTGATAAATACCCAAACCTCTTTGACTTGTTCTCATGTTTAAGGGTTTCTTATGAACCCGATAGAAAGAATTTATGAACCCAAAGCCATATATTATTTACTTATAAATATGTTTAGTCTATAGAATTTATAAAGTATGCTTATATTGAATTTATGAATACTTAGATTACATTTAGAACATGATATTATACATATGCGCACTACCCGATATGACAATCCGATATTTAGTCAATGTTCCCCGATATATTCCCGATTTTCGCTATCCGACATGGATTTCAGTCATCCGACATGAACCCGACATCCGACATTTAAAACATTGATATTAGTACAAATTATATTTTCCACCTACAAAGAGCGTGAATTTTAGGCTGTTGAGATCAGTCGGTTCAGTTATTTTAAGCTAAACCAAACTGAAGTTTCTTGAAACCAAACCGAATTGCCAAAACTTGGTCAATTTGTTTGGTTTATACCATTCACACCGAAGAGTAATCAACCTTAATAAATAGGGACAGAGGTTTCATCATTACTACTACACATCCAAAATACTGAACTTCGCGACAGGCTCGGGTTATCGGTCGGAGATTGTTGCATGTGTCATGAGCAGTATTGGGAGTTCTTATTCGTCATAGTTTCCTCCACTGTCGGGATCCGATTTGGTTCATCGCTAGCTGCACAACGGAGCACCGATTCAAGGTATATATTTCTCCAAGCATCTTTCAACAATACTAATGAAGGATTTAGAAGAGGGAAAGGATATAAAAAAATTCTTTTGGAGTTCCCAAATTCCTTTGTATTTTCTCTAGGGTTTTAGTCATCCATATATAGGGCTTCTCAGCAGCGTACCTCTAAAAATCGACCCTCAGTATGTGTTTGTTACCATCAATATTGTTTGTTACCAACAACTCCTGATTTTTAGAAATAGTGGCTATTTTTGTTCAAGCCACACTAACACTGAGGTAAAGTGCGAAATCCCATCAGCAGCCCCGAGATTTAGAAAGAAGAGGGATTCTAGCTTTAGAAAACCTACTTTGATACCATGTTAGTTTTGTAGTAGTAATATGAAGCATAAACTTGAAGAAAGAAAGAGAATATCCCACTGTTTCTTGAATTGGTCAATGAGTGAGGACGCTTATTCATAGCATAGAGGATAATTACGAAAGAATATTACAATGCTTCAAAGCTATTACATTTGCACTTGCCCACTAAGTGCTAATAATCATTCCAGTTATGTCATGATCCTTCAAATAATGCCCAATACATTTTAAACATGTGTAATGTGTTATAGATTGCTAACGGTGCTCCTAATTATTAAATCAGATTGAAGGACCAAGAGAAGTGGGGGAGTTCAGGTAATAGAAGACGTAGGACATAGGATACAGAGCCTAGAGCTGATGGCAAAGCGGCTGATGGTGGCTATGCGGCTAAGGAAAAGAAAGGAAGACTGACATTAATTTCTTTCTTGATATGGCCCAAATTTATACTGCTTCCACATTAGCATTTTCTCTCTTAACACAGACAATGTTAGAAATAATATCCTAAAAGAGGGAGAAGGGAAAGAAAAGAAAAGAAACAAATAGGAGTTCCCAGCAGGTAAATCAGGTCCACACTAGAGAACTGAAGTGGTAGTCTGGAAATAAAGGGCGTGGAAGAAGAAACAGTAAGTAGCAGGTGAAAGTGTCTGCAAGCTAATTTTACGATTATAGATGTTTGGTCTTCTCTTTAGAGGAGGAAGCGGGTGCATTTGCAGATAATACAGGTTGTTTTGAAGAGAGTGAGTATGCCAGCTCACGTCATAATGGTACATTAAGTAAGGCTCCATATCTAGCTGGCACACTCGTGAATACGTGTTGCCTGAAGAAAAAACATAATTGCTTAATTCTCCACAAAGTTTCTTTATTTCCTTATTTATGACCTGTAAGGCCTTTCATATTATATATCACATAGCATACCATCAAGAGTTAGATTGTTAATGCAACAAGAAGCAAATTTGCACATAGGGAATGGGAACAATTTAAAATTCTGACAAGTATAAATATATTAATATATTTAATGAAAGTTCAAAACAATAACATTACCAATGCACAAGAGTAGTTGACAATTCAGAATTCTCATGATACTTCCATGATACTGCTGATTATTCAGGTTCAGTTTTGATTGATGAATGATGACTAGTGATGCTTAGGGTCGACCGCAAAATGAAGAGAATATTTCCGTTATACGATGGCTGAAGTGAAATGAAAGGGATTGTCTGCGACATAACTAGCAACATAAACAGGCAAGCAGGCAGTCTAGACCCTTCAAAACATCTCTCTCAGAGCACGAGAAGGGACAAAGAAAATTAGCATAAAAAAGAGGAAAATTGGAAGAAAAAAATTAAGGAATGAATGAATGAATGAGATACTTCTAACCGTAACAAGATTCTGAAGCAAAAGTTTATGGTTCTATATTGATTAAAAAAGGAGGTCAGACCTTCACATATGCTAGTTTCATTCAATGTTCTAAACTCTTTGATCGTTATTTACTATCATATCAACCAAAACAGTACTCCGCCAAAATGGTAGCTGATCAAAAATTTTCCGCTTTTAAGTCCAGGGACCTTGCTTTTGATACTTTCAAGTAATACAAAAACTTGTAAGGAATCAATCACACCTATAACTAGACTAATCAATGATCTTTATAAGTAGACTTATCAATGACCTCTAAAATTAGACCAAAACTAGATGTATATAACGGTCCTGCAAGATGTTTCTCAAATGATCGCAGACAAATGTTGCTAAAACCCAAATAAACCTTTCAATTTGGGTATAAGCAAAGTTCTGACATAAAGATATATAGCAGGTGATGGCCACGCTATGCTCAAGAAAGCTCTGAATTTTACACCAAATACAGTAAAAAGATGCAATAAGAACAAGCTAACATTTGGGCACAAAAGATCAGATTTTGACAGGAAAGCTCCAAATCTCTTGCCAACAAGCATCACATGTACACAAAAGAAATGAAACCCGCATTAGAAAGTGTAGATTTAGAGTGAAAAAAGGTAAAAAGGGAGCACCTTTCTCTGTCTACAGGAGCATTAGAACGGATGGAATGATGGGGAGAATGGATTCTCGAAGGAGAGTAGTTGAAGCCATTTGCTGGTGGAAATCTGTCATCCATCACTCGTTCTCCTTCCCAAATTGTCAAAATGAAAATAATCGGAGAGAAAATAAAAGAAAAAATAAAAGGTCTTTCCTATATTTTTTTTTCCCCCCTCTCTCCTGTTACTACCCAAGGGAGAGGGAGAGAGAGGAAGAGACTAAAATAGGGCTTTGGATGCCCTGCTTGCTTCGTATAAATAAGAGTTCAAATGATTTGCAGGACTGGGGTTAGTTTACCCTTGCGGCAAGACCCCACCTGTATTTCTTCTTTTGTTCCATCTTAAAAGATGGGCATGGATATGTAAATATTTACATTGATAAGATATGAAAACAAACATACATACATACATATGATTATTTCTATTTTTGTTCCGTCTCAGAAGATGGACACGGATATGTACGGTTAAATATTTATTATATCCGATAAGATATGAACACACATATATATGATTATTTCTCCGAGGGTTAATTGCACATGGTGTAGTAACTCAAAACATCTATCTAAAGCTCTAGAATGAGTATAGCTTGCGTAAATACCAACTTTATAAGGGGTCTTGTGTAAAATAATTCATTCCCCTTCCTCGCTCACTGCCACCTCGAAGTTTTGGTGTCTCCTTATTACCATCGGAAAACCGGCGCGGCACCTCCCTTGGAGGGAGATAAGAAGAGGGGGAAAAAATCAGAAGGAAACTTACTTGTTCCTCCCAGTAATCATTGCCGGAGCTTTGGTTAAAAATTATGAAGTGAGAGAGAAAGAAAAGAAAGACTCATGCTAGCATCTAAACTAAATTCAAAGGTATAATCTTTTCCTTTTTATCTAATTAGACTTCTATTTGTTGGATTTAATCTAATAAATCTATTTGTGGGCACATATGATTAATTAATGTGTATTGCTATCTTTCAGGATAACCCACTAAAGTGATCAATTAAGTTGGGTTAATGGGTATTTAAATATAATCATGGGGTTATATGTGCAGATACCAGGTTGTAATTGTGATTTATTGAGGGGCTAAATTACAAAAGTACAACATCTATAAATAAGGGGTTATGGTCCCTAACCTAGGGTTACACTCTCTAATTCTCTACACCATCATCTAGCTAGAGAAATTCGGATTTAGAGAAACCCTAAGGTTAGAAGATCATCAAAAAACCCAAATCAAGAGTTCTTCTATGGATTCAGGTATATGCTTCCGCTCTTTTAGATTCTTGTTAATCTCTTCGAATTAATCATGGCTATATGGTTTTAGATCTCAAGTTTTTGGTTTAGATCTAACAAGTGGTATCAGAGCCACCTTGATTAATTCTTAGGGATTTAAGTTTTATTGGGTTTTTTGATCTTAAATCTCTGGTTAAAGATTCAGTTTTTTTGTTCGGATGAACAGTAACGAAAAGTTTCGGATGAACAGTAAAGTTTTTCGGATGAACAGTAACTGAAAAATCGCCGGTGAACAGTAACTTTTTGGAATTTTTTGTATTTTTTCTTCGGTTTTTTCTTGGTCTGGATCTGATTTTGAAAAATAAAATCGAGGAATTTTTTTGGGTTTGTCGGCGGCGGCGGTTTCGGTTTGAAACCCTAAGGGTTCGTGCGTGAAACGTGCCGAACATTAAGGAGGTGGTTACCTCAAATTTTGGCGAAGCGGTAAGCTTCAAACGAACCTCGCGTTCGTTCAATTTTAACCGAGCTTCGCGCTCAACGAACCTCGCGTTCGTTCTAAGGTGAACCTCGCGTTCAACTCAGGTGAGCGTCAAGCTCAATTTTAACGAACCTCGCGTTCGTTCTAAGGTGAACCTCGCGTTCAACTCAGGTGAGCGTCAAGCTCAATTTTAACGAACCTCGCGTTCGTTCTAAGGTGAACCTCGCGTTCAACTCAGGTGAGCGTCAAGCTCAATTTTAACGAACCTCGCGTTCGTTCTAAGGTGAACCTCGCGTTCAACTCAGGTGAGCGTCAAGCTCAATTTTAACGATTCATACTTCTCGAACCTCGCGTTCGTGCTTCAGTCGAACCTCGCGTTCAAGCTTCAGTCGAACCTCGCGTTCGTGCTTCAGTCGAACCTCGCGTTCGTTCTTCAGTCGAACCTTGCGTTCGAACTTCAGTTGAACCTCGCGTTCATTTTTTTTAACGAACCTCGCGTTTGTTCTCAAGTTGAACCTCGCGTTCATTTTTCAAATGAACCTCGCGTTTGTTCTCAGACGAACCTCGCGTTCGTGCTTAAGTGAGTCCCGTACTCAATACAGTCGAACCTCGCGTTCAAAGTTAAGCGAACTTCGTGTTCACTATGGTTAAGCCTCAGCTTTTCATGGGTCCACTTTGGTATACTTAATTTATTCAATTAAGTTATGGGCCCTAATTAAGCTGTGAAACCCCAATTAAGTTTTTGGAAATTCAGTTGATTTAAATTAAAACTTTTTAATTTAAATCTAATTTGATTTTTTTAATCAATTATTTAATTCAAATAATATGACACTAAGGAATTAAGGTTGTCTCTCACTCCAATTGATTAATTGAAACAAGAAGTTGCCAAAGTAACCTCTCTTGTGTAGATTGTTCATGAGGAATGTGAGATGTTTATGTGTATGCTTTCGTGTAAATATTTAATCGGCCCAAAGGAAGGTTAATATTTATTTAGACTGTATACACATCTGCGATGATAAGCGTGTGACAATTATAAGGTTTACATGTGAATAATGAATCGATCCAAAGATAGTTTTATTATTTGACATGAGTTATTATCAATGTTTGATCATTGCAATAAGGTATCACTTACAAGTTAATATTACTATCCAAAGACTTGATATTAATGTTGTGCCCGATATCTTGAATAGGGATTGTCATTATTTGAATTTTATTGATTATGGTTATTGATGTGAGCATTTTTGTTTTATTTCAGCTAATGCATCTGCTGTAACAATTTCTGCTAACATCAACTCAATTCCAATGCTAAATGGGACAAACTTCAAGGTTTGGAAAGAGAACATATTAATTGTTCTTGGCTGCATGGATCTTGACTATGCATTAAGAACTGAACAACCCCAACCTCTCAATGCGGATAGCACTCCTGATGCAAAGAAGGAGCATGAGAAGTGGGAGCGTTCAAATCGCATGAGTCTTATGATCATTAAGCGCGGCGTTCCGGAAGCCTTCAGGGGCATAGAATCCGAAGGGATTACTAAGGCTAAAGATTTCCTTGTCGAAATTGAGAAGCGTTTTGCTAAAAACGATAAGGTAGAAACAAGCACGCTTTTAGCTCGCTTGATTTCGATGAAGTATAAGGGCAAAGGAAATATCAGGGAGTACATTATGGAAATGTCTCATATTGCTTCAAAGCTTAAGGCACTTAAACTCGATCTTTGTGACGAGTTATTAGTGCATCTGGTTTTGTTGTCTCTTCCTGCACAGTTTAACCAATTTAAGGTCAGTTATAACTGTCAAAAGGAGAAATGGACTCTAAATGAGCTCATTTCATACTGTGTGCAAGAAGAAGACAGGTTGAAGCAAGATAAGACAGAAAGTGCTCATTTGGCCTATGCCTCTAAGGATAAGGGCAAGAAAAGGAAGAATGATAAGGAAGCTGCTAAGGGTCCAGTTGAGAAGAAACAACATAAGGATAATCAGGGTTGTTTCTTCTGTAAGAAGCCTGGACATGTAAAGAAGGACTGTACAAAATATCACGCCTGGCGTGATAATAAGGGTACGTTCCTTGCTTTGGTCTGTTCTGAGGTTAATTTAGCTTCAGTACCTAGAAACACTTGGTGGTTAGACTCTGGTGCTACTACTCACATAAGTGTTTCTATGCAGGGTTGCCTGAGCTACCGAAAGCCAAGTGATGTTGAAAGACACATCTTTGTGGGCGACGGACAATCGGTAGATGTGGAAGCAATTGGGCACTTTAGGTTGTTGTTAGGAACTGGTTATTATTTGGATTTAAAAGATACTTTTGTAGTACCGTCTTTTAGACGGAATTTGGTTTCTGTTTCTGTATTGGACAAATCAGGTTATTCTTGTTCATTTGGAAACAGTCAATTCAGTTTATCTTTTAATTCAAATGTTGTGGGAACCGGTTACTTGAGTATTTATGACAACCTATATTTGCTTGATACAATTGCTTCTTACAATGAATCCTTGCATGTGGAATCACGTGGTACTAAGCGTAAATTAAATAAGGAAAATTCGGCGACATTATGGCATAAGCGCTTAGGTCATATCTCAAAAGGTAGAATTGAGCGTCTTGTGTCTGATGGCATTTTGGATTCCCTTGATTTTTCGGACTTCGACGTATGTGTTGAATGTATCAAGGGAAAACAGACCAAAGTGAAAAGATTAGGTGCCAACAGATCTTCGGATGTCTTAGAATTGATACATACGGATATTTGTGGGCCATTCCCTACGGAATCCTAGAATGGTCAACAATATTTTATATCATTCATAGACGATTACTCACGTTATGGGGTACCTATATCTTATTCATGAAAATCTGAGTCTCTGGACATGTTCAAAGCCTATAAAGCTGAAGTTGAGAATCAACTCAACAGAAGAATTAAAACCGTCAGATCTGATCGTGGTGGTGAGTACTACGGTAGATATGATGGTTCAGGTGAACAACGTCCAGGACCATTTGCTAGATACCTATGGTTCAGGTGAACAACGTCCATGACCATTTGCTAGATACCTAGAGGAATACGGTATCGTCCCACAGTACACCATGCCGGGTTCACCTAGCATGAATGGTGTAGCTGAAAGACGAAATAGGACTCTTAAGGATATGGTAAGAAGTATGATTGCTCATTCTTCTTTACCAGAGTCACTCTGGGGAGAAGCACTTAAGACAGCAGCTTACATTCTGAATAGAGTACCAAGTAAAGCAGTTGCTAAAACACCTTATGAGCTTTGGACTGGTCGAAAGCCCAGTTTAAAGCATTTACATATTTGGGGATGTCCAGCTGAGGCAAGGCCTTATAGGCCAAATGAAAAGAAATTGGACTCCAAAACAGTTAGCAGCTACTTTATTGGGTACTCTGAACGCTCTAGGGGCTTTAAGTTTTATGATCCCACTATAAGGAATATTTTTAAGACAGGAACAACAATATTCTTTGAGGATGTTGAGTTTGGGGGGAGAAATAAGGTTAGAGACATTAGTTTTGATGAGGAATTGGCTTCAGATCCAATCCATAC